TCATTGTATATTCTTGTAGCTTATCTCGAAAGCTTTCCAAAACACTATAATTAATAATTTTTTCATGAAATACTTTTCGAGTTATAAGGCTTGAAATCATTTCTTAATTTTACATAAACCATAAAATATCTTGTAAAATATTCATTTTTCGATTATTTTACTTAAATACTTGTATGTAAAAAATAATGAGAGGAATCAATTGGTGTAAAGAAAACATACAGTCGTTTTTAAGAAAAAATATGGAATTGTTAATTGCAAATTATATATTTTTTCTTAGAAACAACTATGTGTTTTCTTTACACTAATTGATTCCTCTCATTATTTTGTACATAAAAGTATTAAGGTAAGATAATCGAAACATGAATATTTTACAAGATATTTTATGGTTTATGTAAAATTAAGAAATGATTTTAAGCCTTATAATTCGAAAAGTATTTCATGAAAAAATAATTTATTATAGTGTTTTGGAAATCTCTCGAGATAAACTACAAGAATATGCAATAATATATATGATATTCCATTTAATAAATTTAAGGTGACCTTTATGTGATCTTCAAATGACTGTTGAAGGTCGAAACAATGTTACTATCTTATTGCCCCCTCAAAACCATACAACTTTTGTTCGAAACATTTTTTCATAATTTCCATATTTCTCGAGATATTTGCTTGGGGCGATTAAAATGAAACACCCTGTATATTGCAATAGGTAAAATTTAGTGGAGACTTTTCTAATTTGAACATTTACTAAAATTTCTTTTATTAATGCCTTTGTAACTAATAAGGAATATATAATTGATACTAGAGTGTCTGATACTAGAGAGAAGTTGCTTTCTTCTCTGTAATAAAATCTACTAAAATGCTCAAAACGGAAGCAAACTAACTATATTTCTTTAATATAATATAATATAATATAATATAATATATTCTTTAATAGAATATAATATTTGTTTATTTCTCTGAAATTTAAATATCAAATTTTGTTCATTATTGATAATATACATACCATTAAAGTAATTTATCCTTCAGCATATTTTTACATTTATCGTTAAAGAAACGTAAAAAATTGTTAAGATCCAACCTAAGAAAAAATAAAAAGTACTTTTGTTATGTATTACATATATAGAAATATAAAAGCAATTTTTATTAAAATTTGCAATATAAATGCAGGATGCCGAAAATGGAAATTAATATCTATAATTATTTTATGTTTAGTTGCGAATTTAATCAATTTAATAAAAATTGTCCATTTAATAAAAATTGTTTAAAACAAAATTGGAATATTGATATTGATTTTAAATTAATTTTTACAAAAAATCAGTCTAAAAGTAATCTTATAAATAAAATCAAACACATATATATTCTTTTAGACACATCAATTTGTCTTGTAATTACCTGATGTAAAAAATTTAAGATCTCGTAAATTATTGTTCTTAATAGCTGTTTTTTTGTAATGTTTACATAAAAATATTATAAGAATAGATATTAATTGTGTACTATTCATATCAATAGATATGAATAGTACACAATTAATTCACAAAAAAATATACTGTTTATAAAAAGTAATTGCTGAAAAGTTGAAAAAGCTACAATAAATGAATTAAATTTTTTGTAAATAAAGTTATTTGTATGCTTTTTAGAAAATCTATGTTATATAAATTCTCGAATTTCGCATTACTTTTTGCTGTCGAAATCAATTTCATATTTGACAGCTTTTGATTATCGCGAAAATTTACGAATTGTCAAAATTAGAGTCAAATTAAAAATTTCTTATAAATAAGAGAGAAACAGAAAAAAGAAAAGAGATAATTAAAGAAAGGTATGTATATCTTATATCTATATATAAAATTAAAAATTTGATTTTATCAAAATATGTGTGTATGTGTGTGTAATATAATTTTACAACATATATAAAAGTAAAATTGCAAAAGAAGTATCTTTATATATATATATATATATATATATATATATATATATAAAAAGATATTTCTTTTGCAATTTTACTTTTCATCTTCGCATAATACATTTTATATATATATATATATATATATATATATATATATATATATATAATAAACTAACCTGCCTGCTGATAAATATTTTTGTATTTCTAATATTTTATTATCTCGGTTTCTGTTTTTAATATTTGTACGATGTCCACTAGTTTCGACTGTTTTTAGACGTTTCAGTTTTATTTCTTCGTCAGTTATTAATATTTGTAGATTATCTGTAAGCATATTATCTTTTCGAACAGTTTGTTTACTTTGTGTATACAATGGAAAAAATGACAACATTACCTAAGAAACTCCAGACGTTTTCATGAGTTTTGTTGAATTTTCTTCCTGCTATATTGTGAAAAGTTTCTGTTATATTATTTGTTCTCATAGGACAATCATAAACGCTGACTTTTGATGCTAGTGGTAACCATGTTTTGCCTACATATGTTAAAAAGTCATTAACAGCAGGATATTCATGAGAAATTTGATCAGCTTCAAATTGTATAAAGGAAAGTGCTTCCTTAAAATGATCAGAAGGAACCAATGCCATAGTCATAGTCATTGATAAAACGTTTTTTGGTGCATCCATTAAACCTAATCGTCGCCAATGACGCAAAAGTGCCTGTAAGTGAATATTTATATATTATAATAACTGGTTTATGTAAATAATATAGAACAAAGAAAACAAAAATAAATTATATAAAATTATAATACATACTTGATTATAGTGAAACCAGCACCCATGTGCTTCTGCTGCTGGAAAGTATTCATTTATAACTTTCATGGCTGCCATTTCATAGTCGCTCATTATAAACTTTATATTATGTTGAAGCATTGGCACTAATTCTATAATTTTGTTCCAAATAGCTGTGTACATATTACTAGAACGACTTTCACACAAGATAAAGATCATAGCAATATCTTGCAAAATATAACGAATTACAGTATTCCTATTAAAATTAAACAATGTATAAAAGTATGAGATATAAAGCCTGAATTAATATTATTTAAATCATGATTTTATTTAAAGAGAATACTGATTTTATTTAAAGAGATACTATTTAAAGAGAAAGCATATTTAAAAAACATGTATAAATTTATTGCAAAGAACAATAAAAATCATATTTTTAATTTATAACTTCATAATGTACATATAAAATATGAGTGAGGCCCAGTTGCACACAGAATAAATCGGACACAGCAGGTTGAACGAATCGGACACAGTGTTAATCGAACACAGTAGGAAATGGACACACGATGATTGAAATCGGACACAGTGATAATCGGACACAGTGATAATCGGACACAATGCTAATCGGACACAGTGGAAATCAGACACATTGCTAATTAGACACAGTGCAAATCGGACACAGTAGAAAACGGACACACGATGATTGCAATCGGACAGTATCAATCAGACCTCGTTACGCATCCAAAGCACAGGGCGATATATTTTGTCCCTCGCTTTGCGCGAAAAGTTGCAAACCCATGTGAAACCGTATAATTACGAACTCCGTTACACATTCGAAGCACAAGGCAAAGTTGCCAGATCTCCCCCGCAAGCAACATGCAACACCTTGTGGAGGGGATAACGGGGATGTGAGCGTAACGTACGTGTGAGCTCGGCGCATCTCCGAGCTCACACGTACGTTACGCTCACATCCCCGTTATCCCCTCCACAAGGTGTTGCATGTTGCTTGCGGCGGAGATCTGGCTTTGGCACAAGGCGATATGTGTTTTCCCTCACTTCACGCGAAAAGTCCGACTGGTCATGTGTCCGATTTCATCGTGTGTCCGTTTCTTACTGTGTCCGATTCGTTCAACCTGCTGTGTCTGATTTATTCTATGCGCAACTGGACCCTTCTCTAAAATATATATTAAATATATATAATATATTACACTTTTTTAAACTAGCTTTCTATGTCTATATTATAAAAGAATGAAATATTTACTAATAAAATAGCTAATAAAAAAATTAATTAACTCATATTACAACTTTTTCATGCTTTTTTTGTTGAATAATATTTACTGAATAATATTTACACATGCAATTCTAACTGGTGACAATACATGTTATATTTATTTATATAATTTTATATTATATTATTTAGTTATATTGTTTTATATTATGTTATATTTTTATTACTTACTACATTCATATAGCGGGTATGTAGTGTATACATTTGACTCATTAATGGTACACGTGGAACAATCTACAAAGTTAACATTATTTAAACGTATTGCTTTTATTATAATATATAAAAATAACAATATACTATATTGTAAGATATTGAAACTTACATTAAATGTGCTATCAACGTAAAATTCTGTTGATTTTTGTAATTCTTGCAACAGCTCATTACTTGTAAATATTAATGCTTTTTTTCCATCGCTACAAGTCACATTTCCTTTATAAAATTTGTTTAGGGGTTGGTAAGTTAATAAATTCGCAGCAAGCGTCTCCATATTCTTTGGTAAAGTTGGGCGAAGTTTGATTCTTTCACGGTACAATGTACTTTTCAATGTTGTATATGACAACCCAGATAGCACAGAGAATTCGAAAAGAATTCTTTTTTGATCCCCGATTTATAAAATAAATTTCTTTTTCGTCCCATTTCTGTTCGAAAAGTATTCGTAAGTATTCCAAAAGACTTCACTTTTATGTCACCATTTGTGAGTTCTTTTTCAGATTCGAAAAGGATTCCTTTTTGAGTCTATAATAATTCGCTATGAATTCAAAATAATTTTTAGCTAATACTCTAATAGAATTATAATAGAACTCTATTATTATTCATTTTCTGGGATCCGAATATGGGATAAATTAGGATTATTGGAATGCTCTAAATGCATAAAATACAATTTTGTAATAAAATGACAAAATATATTTTATTAAATGATAAATGATATTGTAACATATATTGTAACATATATTGTTATACTCGCCGGAGTGTATCAAACCAAATTTTAGAATTTGTGAAAAATCGAAGAAAAATGATGAACGCACAATCGTCTGTATATATTATATTAATCGCTTTCGCGCGGTGACGTAAATTATACACCAAACATATATTCGTATCTCATACGTTCACATACATACGTACAAGAGACTTAAATATATAATATTAAATATATATAATGTATCAATCTTCCTCTTTCTTTCTAAATAAAAATACATTAAAGTCTCGTTTAAAGCTTAAAATAACGCTTAAAAATAACGTTGGTTCAATCAGGCCTAAAGTAGATATGTGTATATTATGGAATTATGAAAATTTATTTCTTATTTTTTATTCGGTCGCTAGCGTGCTGCAGCCACTTCTTTATAAATATTTCTATGTCGCTTCTAGATGCATTTTTCACTTTCGAAACGGTTTCTGGAACAATTTAAAGAATTTTGTAAGTAAATATAAAATATTTTTAAAAAAGTTCAATATAGAGATTTGGTACTTTGGTCAAAATACATACTAAAAAATAAAATACTTATTACACACCGACAATAAGTTGAGAAATTAGGGTACTTTTAAATTGAATAGTTCTTCTTTGACCAGACCAGGAATACTGCACAGCCAGCTTATCCGACATTAAAAAACGCAATGTAGCTCTAGTAAATTTGCCTGGATCAGATCCTCCGATCATTTGTATTTCGCGAATCTATCAAAATATTCATAAATATATCATAATGACTTGAATATTGCTATTGTAAAATTGCTACTGTAAAATATAACAAATAAGCTTACATATTGTTTTTGTATTTCGGAGGACTTAACAAGATGCATTTCAAATTGTTCTAACTCTAGGACAGTTCTTAAAGGAAAGTTAGGTAAAAGATTTTCTTCATTTTCTACTTCAATACCACGATCTCGCATTAAATTAATAAGATGGTTCATCTTATTCTTCAGGCACTTAAAATATGGTAGAAACCGCTCTTCCGTCATTGGTTCTGAAACTTGATTTACATAATTTTGTAAGTAAATATAAAATATTTGTAAAAAAGTAATGTTGAGATTTGGTACTCTGGTCAAAATAAATACTGATTCTATTTCTTTGTCTAATACCAGTAAATAACAAACAATACCTAAATAACAATTTTTTTTAATTTTGCCGATAAGTGGAAGTCTCAGAAATTTCCTGAGACTATACATCTGTATTCAAAATATATCATAAAACATGCATCGCACGCACGCACGCACGCACGCACGCACACACACACACCACAAATATATAATATTCTTTATATATAGTAATTTCTAATTTCAGAGTATATCGCTTTAATTTCATCTGTGCAGATGACGTCATTGTAATGCCTTCCCATTTTATATAGTATACATTATGTTTATACGTAATGCTGGCGCCAGACTATGCGCGTATTCGCGATTCGTGATGATTCGTGTCCTTTAATTTCGTCGAAAAACCACTCCGCCAGCGAATCAGCGCGAATGACGAATCACGCAAATGTAAATTTGACGAATTTTGTCTCCACACTCCTTCGCCAATTAGATAAAAATTAACAAATTACGTATCACGAATCGCGAATACGCGCATAGTCTGGCGCAAGCATAACCCGTAATTGTACATTGCTTTCCCACTCATGTGTATGTTATGGCTTTCAATTCACGCGCAAACTTTGCAGTATCATGCAACAGTGTTTATCGTTTATTGAGATCACGCGCACAAAGTGTGCTAGCGTTTTGCTACTGCTTTAACGACGCATTGGGATAAGGTATTGCTTGCGCAATATGAGCCATATTTGTGCGTGACTTGCTACATATTTACTTGCAAAATGTTTTCTAGGTACTTACGTGCATGATTGCGTTCTTGTATGCGTTCTCGATCATTATTTCCCGGACGATTTTGCGTATTTCTGGCAGGATTAACAATTTCCACATCTGCATTTCTACGACGTGTATTCACAATTTCCACATCTGCATTTCTACGACGTATATAATTACGTTCTTGTGTGCGTTCTTCATCATTATTTATCGGACGATTTTTGTTGGAATGAATATCTACTAAGATTCAAAATATACTTATAATAATTTCTATGGTATAGATTAAAATCTTTTACAAGTAATATTTGACTCTTAAGAAATGGAACCTTAATGAGTTGAAAGAAACTATATACATATACAACTATATATACAAAACTATATACAAAAATAAAAAAATTAAAATTGCCTATATATTAGTCATAAACTAATTCTCAAAGTTATGTAGACAAGTTCGTATATGAAAAGATTTAAAAACGCTTTAAATAAAACATATGACATATCATTCTTCAAACCTTCAAAGTAATTTAATTCATTTTATTCTAAAACTCAAGAAAAAATCTTAGAATATTTGTTGATCTCTAAAAATGAGATTTTTTCTAAAAATTAATCGCGTTACAAGTATTGTAAGTAATATAATGTGTGTAATTATAATTTTATATTTCCTATAGTTTGGAAAATTTATAAGTTTTAAAAGTATCTTACTTTTAAAGAACTCGCACTTATAGACATTTCGTGTTTTACAAACTAAGCTTAATGGTTAATATACAAATGATTTTAAGAAGTTAAGATAAAAGCTACAACAATCAGTCAAGACCTTAATGAATTTTTGTATATCAAAATTTTATAAGCCTTACAAGTCGTATTTCCAGTTGTGCACCTTTCTGAAGGTCTAGGCAAATTGTGTGTCCCATCAACGTTAGGGACTTTTACAACAAATGTTTTCTTCCCTGAATATGTTAATACTGGAAAAAACATTAAATATATAATACAACTATATTATCATAGAGATAAAAATATATATGGGGCATTCTTTGTGAACCCGAGACCCCATGCTCTCCAGAATTGAGTTGCTCCAAAAAATATTTTTCAGGGTTGAAAATTTACCTAAACATGTCTACTTTTATTTGCCGTGTGGCCTTTTTGAAAATTCAAAATGGCGGCGCGTCCAAACTCCAAAATACCGAAAAACTATTTTATTTTCTTCCTATTGCGTGCGAAAAAAGTATTGTAGCGTATGTTCAAAGATTATTTTTGTCGTCAAAATTGTTTCTTCGTTTGCCTACTTCAAATTCGTGTAATATAATTTTGGATATTTAAGATAGCGGATCCAAAATGGCGGACCAAAATTCAAAATTTAAATGATTTGAAGGAAAATCGATACCCGGGGGTTTTCGTGGTCGCTGATCACGAATCTGAAGTCAAAATTCTGAAATTCAAAATGGCTGACCCAATATGCCCGACTGAAATGCAAAATTTCACATAATTTCGATGAAAATCGGTATTCCGGGGTTTTCGAGGGCGCTGATTACGAATCTTAGATCAAAATTCTGGAAGTAATTAAAAAATCGAAAATAAATTCGAAGTTATGAAATTTTTACTTGGGGTACTTGGGCGCGCATTATTGACGTAAAAGTAAATGTTCGTAATTGTGTATACCGCTGACGTTAGCATCATCCAACATGTATCCCGCGGAGGTCGCACAGTCGGATTTACATGTCTTCGGGGTGCTTTGATCAGATGGTTCCCCTTGCCGTCACCTGTGTGTGTGTGTGTGTGTGTGTGTGTGTGTGTGTGTGTGTGTGTGTGTGTGTGTGTGTGTGTGCGCGTGCGTGCGTGTGTGCGTGCGTGTGTGGGGGGGGGTGCGCGCGAGCTCGCTTTGGTAAGTTATTAAATTCTCCTTGCATTTTCATGTTACTTCGTATTGTAAGTGAGTTTTATACCATTCTCAGCCCAAATTGTGATTTGATTGCTATTTTTTTCACGTATTTTTTACCAACATTGTAAGGAACATTTATCAATAAAAATAATTAAAACATCACATGGAGAACACAGTTAAAATGGGATTTGTTTATAAAAAATGTTTTAAAAAATAACTTGCATAAAAGTTTTTTTTTATTTTTATTAGATCACCTGAAAGAACAATCATCCTGTTAAAAATAAAGTATAATTTGCAAATCACCCATATAGAAAAAAATACTAAATTAATGTACGTATTTGCAAATAACTGTCATATTTTTACTTACATTTTATCCCGTTAAAAAAGTAAACCGAAGTTGTGTCTCTTTACAGATTTCAGTTTATCTGTGTTCTTTTTTAAAAAATAAAGTATAAGGTACATGTTGGATGATGCTAACGTCAGCGGTATACACAATTACGAACATTTACTTTTACGTCAATAATGCGCGCCCAAGTACCCCAAGTAAAAATTTCGTAACTTCGAATTTATTTTCGATTTTTTAATTACTTCCAGAATTTTGATCTAAGATTCGTAATCAGCCCTCGAAAACCCCGGAATACCGATTTTCATCGAAATTATGTGAAATTTTGCATTTCAGTCGGGCATATTGGGTCAGCCATTTTGAATTTCAGAATTTTGACTTCAGATTCGTGATCAGCGACCACGAAAACCCCCAGGTATCGATTTTCCTTCAAATCATTTAAATTTTGAATTTTGGTCCGCCATTTTGGATCCGCTATCTTAAATATCCAAAATTATATTACACGAATTTGAAGTAGGCAAACAAAGAAACAATTTTGACGACAAAAATAATCTTTGAACATACGCTACAATACTTTTTTCGCACGCAATAGGAAGAAAATAAAATAGTTTTTCGGTATTTTGGAGTTTGGACGCGCCGCCATTTTGAATTTTCAAAAAGGCCACACGGCAAATAAAAGTAGACATGTTTAGGTAAATTTTCAACCCTGAAAAATATTTTTTGGAGCAACTCAATTCTGGAGAGCATGGGGTCTCGGGTTCACAAAGAATGCCCCATATATATATATATATATATATATATATATATATATATGTATACAGGGTGTCTCAGATCAAACGCAGGTCCTTTTAATGAGAGATTCCTAAAGTCATTTGGAGACGATTTTTCCTCTGCGAAAATGCCGAAACACCAATAATTTCCGCGTTATAATTAATTAAAAAAGAAAGGCTTTTCGTAAACTAAACTTTGTAGATATAAACTGTTAATAAAATTAAATTCTTCAGATAATTTTAGGTGCAGTTTACTTTAATAGAATATAAATTTAAGGCTTAAGTACGAAGATATATGATGACAAAAATAAAAACTTGCAAAAAATAATGACCTCCCTTGACATTTTCGCAAAGGAAAAATCGTTTCCAAATGACCTCAGGAATCTGTCATTAAGAAAACCTGCATTTGATCTGAAACACGTATAAATTACATACATTTACTTTGCTTTTGTAAAGTAGTAGTAGTAGTAGTGGCTGTTCCAGTATTTTCTTGTTCATGTTCACTTGTTGAATCACAAGAGAATTTTTCCTCTATTTCATTTTTACTTTCGTTGCAGTCTTCTGTTACTGGGTTTTTGCATTGTAAACATATATTGATTTATATTAGTATTATTCATTCACAATTATACAATTCAATAATAGAATATTAAGAATGTATGACATATATAATTACCTAACATATTATTTCCCATGGAGATTGATTCTGGTATAAATTCATTAAAATTTTGTAGCTGATAATCAGATAGCGGTAATATAAATGAGCGTGTAGAATTATTATCTGTATCAGAGTTATCTTTGATCACTGAAAAAAATAAAATATTTTGTGAAATATTCTGCAGCATTTTAAAAGAATTGTACCAGAAGTGTGTATATTACAGCATTACCTTCGTCTTCGTCTGTATCGGAAAGACGTTTTGGTCTTTTTCTCTTTCGTTTTGTTTCCACGTTACTTTTAAGAGCTTTGTTACATGTTTCATCAGTATCTTCATTTGTAGAGACGTTAATGCAATATTCTTCAACTTGATTTGCTATTTCAAGAGACTCTAAAATATATTTTAATTTGAATTGTATATAGTAACATGTAATACTTTATAATATATCTAATATTAAAAAAAACGTACCGAAAGGTCCTAAACATTTACGATAATCATATGTAAGCCAATCATCATTATTTGGCTGTAGCAGATGCATTTTGTGTTTATTAAATTTTACGTGCTTTGGAGGCCAAAAAACTTTCTTCAATTCTATATTCACCCAATTTGCTGGTACGAGATTACAAAAGTCGTTAAAAATTATTACAAAGTACTGCATCTGAAAATTTTATTTCCAAACACCTCTTGTTATTTTTGTAAAAGAGCCATAGCATATGTGTTATTTTCATGTGTTATTACAAATCCTTTGCAACTTATGCATTGTGCGGACCACAATCGTAAAGGTAACAGATTATCGACTTTATATATTTGTAAGTAACTGGAAGGGCACGGATAATTAGAAATGTCGCATTTATTCAGAAATTGTCTTCCAAGAACTACAATCTACTATTTTCTATTAATCCAATATGCTTGATCATCACAATAGTTTCATCATTCATGAAACAACAGTTGTCCAGCCTTTTAGTCGACAATTGAAAATTGCGGAATTGTAGAATTCGATGTTCGCTATGACAACCCAAGGGAAGTTGTACACAATTGGATATTTCAGTAGAGGGTACTGCAAAATGTCCAAATTCTTGTTTTGGAGATGTTGATTGAGATGCTTTTCAAATAGTCGTCGATGAATTTGTTGTAAGGGATTTGCATGTTTCCGTATCATTCGCTTCACAGTTTGCATATGATTTTCAAAATCAAAAGTACTGTATGAATCTAATGGTCCATACATTTTTACATCTTCATTTAAATGAATAAGATAATGAAAGTTACTTGTGACATATTGTTCTCCATACAATGTTTTAAATTGCTGTACGAAATAAATAAGCAATTCTTTAGCGTAAGCGTTGTTTTCATAACAATCTTGAGAGTGGCACAATATTCTCATGGCACAATGTAGAGTGTTGAAATGAATTAAATACTTTCGAGGAAGAAAATGTTGCAAAATAATCGGTCCGAGATACAACAAAAACAAACGGAATTCAGTTCCTTTCCAACGACATAACTCCTGCAAATCTCGAGGTTTTCTGTTAAATTCCTTAGGCACCCATTGCGTTGCGATAACTAAGAAATTTGATAATTGTTGTATAGCCTCAGAACTAAAAAAACAAAACTAACTTGGCTGTCGACGATTATCTACCCAACTCATTAACAGGGATTTCATTACATCCAAATATACCACGTGCAGAGAGTCAAGTGGAAATTGTTTTACAATATCTATAGGTAAAGATTCAAACGGTGAAATTCCAGTATGATGTTCTTCGTTCAATCTATTTCTAAAAGTATCATCAGTTCGTAGTGGTGCTGATTCAGAAAGAAAAACCATTCTATTTTGAAATTCGCCTTCTTCAGTACATTTGTCGCAGCTGAAGAATCCATTAAACTGTTTGGTACATTTAACATAAGACCGTGCAGGACTGTCGCAAATTATACATCGTAAAGTTACATTGTATCGTTTTCCATCTATGACTATTCCTTCATTTTGTAACTCTTTATATTCATTGATGAACGGTGCTAAGTAGTTGTGAACTGCAGATGGTTTTTTAGTACCGTGATAAATCCCAATAATAAACGGCGTATTCAAAGAACTATGGACAAGTTTTCCCAAAATAAGCCATAAACATGTTCCTAAAGACTTCGCTATGGATAGTAGGGATGGGCAAAAATCACTCGATTATTTGAATATCGATGCTTTTTTTATTAAGGAATCGATTATTTATCCGATGTTTTTATGTTCGATTAATTGTTATATCGATATTTGTTCTTCTCGATGGTACTAAATTTATCACTAGATTTTACTAACAACTTTTCGTAAGGTAGGTTCGAGGGTAATACCCTCTGAGAAAATTCGTGGACATTAGCTTCGTAGTTCATGTCCACGTTTTTTAGGTCCACAGAGGGCGTATCGCTTTCAGGGATCACCTAAGAGCGGGCCATGACACCTCTCATTCTTCTCTCTGCGCTTACGCAAGTTTCGCTGCATGTGACGGCACCATTATATGCTTTTAGGCCGGTATTACGTTTGTCGTACGACATATTTTCTCAGCGTATTGATTGGCTGCTTTCTATGACTTGAGAAATTTTTTATCCAATAGCCAATCAATACACTTGAAAAATTCGTCGTACGACAAATGTAATATCAACCTTAAAAGTAGATAATTTCTGGTATTATCTTATATATTGGTCCTCTTTCATCGACGCCATATGCAGCCATATGCAGCCATATGCAGCCATATGTGAATAAACGCAAAAGAACATTAAAATCGAAGGTAATCCAACTTTAAATCCACTTTATTTTTTTAACTATATGCATAAATATTAAATAAAATTAAAAATTCAGACTTATTTTGATAATATTATCTACGCCTGCTTATTAATTCGAGAGTTTTATTTTAAATTAATATTCTAATATTACTATGTTCGCAAAAGCTTAATACTTATATGTATTTCTTGCATTGTGAGCACATTCGTGCGTACGAGACAGTTTCATAAATGAAAATTGTATAACAAACTTTTTTATATCTTCTGATTAAACATTTTCGAAACTAAGTCATATGTAATATATAAACATATTTTAACAATTAAAAAAATTTCAATGCATACAATTTCGTTCGTTTATTTTTATTCATTTTGTTTGTTCACTTTTATTCATTTTCTTTGCTCATGAAATATACGCTGATTTTGTTTCTATGTTACATATAACGAATATTGTTTGATACATATTATTTATGAGATTGATATATATATATATATATATATATATATATATATATATCAATCTCATAAATAATATGTATCAAACAATATTCGTTATATAACAAAAAAAATTTTACACACACACACACACACACACACACACACACACACACACACACACACACACACACACACACACACACACACACACACACATGTGTGTGTGTGTGTATAAAATTTTTTTTATCTTCTTTTAGAAAAAAAGTTGAAAATTGGAAACAGCTAAGTGCACCTGTCTGCTTGCTCCTTACTTCGCAAATTACCAATATATATATATTGCGAAGAAAAAAGGTGAATATTATAAAATGATGGAGAATAAAAAGGAAAAAAAAAGCGTTGTTTGGGATTATTTTAAAAAAGAAAATAACACATGTGCGCGTTGTACATTATGTACAAAAATTTTGAAACATGGTGGTAATACTACTAATTTAATGCAGCATTTAAAAAGAAAGCATCTACTGCATCCACAACCTGGCACAATGATTCAACACCAAAAAATAAATACGACTAAGGAGTCAAGTACAAAAAAAAAGAATGTACGAGAGAAACAAAGAAGAACAAGACGAAGAAGTCGATAATCCAGGTTCTATAATTGACGTTTCTAGCACAACGCAGCACAAGGTAACAATTTTTAAATAAATATTAATAATGATAAAGCAAAATTATTTGTTGATACATAAAATCAGAATGTTGATATTCAGATGTTCAAAGTCTTTTCGTTTTCTTTTCAACATATTATTAAAGAATTTAAGTATTATAATAATATAATAACAAACTATAATAACAAATATAAATACATATTAAACATTTTTCGATTAAGTTTTAAACATGTTTTAAATAATTAATTTTCTTGTTATGGAAATTTGTCTTAAAATATATTTCAATCAGTGAGAGAACTATAACATTTTTAAAAATATTTAAATCTTTAATAAAAAATTAAATTTAAGATTTTACATTACAATGAAACCAATTAACTAATAAAGAGAAAATAATAAAATTTAACTTTTTTCTTTTGCAGATTGGACAAAGATCGAACGAACGAATCGATGATGCTTTTCAGCGTATAAATTCTTTTAAAGGTATAAAATATGTATTTTAATATATAAGATTTTTAGTTTAATCGACAGACATCTAATATATGAGCACTAAACTGCTAACTTTCTTATATATTATATAAAATTGATTTCAAAAGTTATGTATATTACTCAAGGGGAAAAATATGATCGTGTGATATGATCACATGATGATATACATATACTGACAAGGAAAGGGTCGGAAGTGTCCCCCTCCGATTTTAATGAGCTTTAAATATGTTGTAGTCTAGATCAAAATAGGAGACACGTATTTTTTTATAAGTGCTGAGTCGGCCGTTAAGGGGGTGAAACACCTTCTTGAAAAAAATCGATTTTTTCATTTCTCAGCGGATACCGTCGAAGCGATAAGAGATATAAACAAAAGTTTCAAATAAAAGTTTTATGGTCTTTAATGTACTTCAAAATCATGTAATCAGATTTGTCGAAAATGTCATATTTTTCGAAATCCCCCCCCCTCCCTTTTAATGTTTGAAAATTTTTAAATTTGTCTCATAACAAAACTTATAGCTCATTTAACGACAAATTCAATCATATATAATAAAGTTGTATTCCGAAGTCATTATATATATGTATATGGAAATATTACATAAAATACCGTACATAATTATTGCATACAAGAATAACAAATATTCATGGTTGATATCGGTTACAAAGATGATGATCATGAAAGAAATGATTTATACAAAGGGATTTTTTACACCATGCGCAAGAAATTACAGCAATTTCACCGCAAATATCACATGTTGGTTTTAAATTAGTTTTGAAACAAAAATCTACTGGTGTATCAAATTCTTCTGGTTTCTTTTCTAAATAACCACTTTTATACCATGCATATTTGAATAAATTTTTAAACCTTGGTGATGAAAATTGATTATGTGTTAATGATTGTAATTTTAAAATATTGTTTCTTGAATGAAGCTTGACGTCAAGATCTAAAAGCATGATGGTATCTGAAAAATGTCTAACAAAATTTTTCCATAAACGAAAACCGAATACATCTAAAGGTTGTATTTTTCCCGTTGCTCCAGCTGGTATAGTTAACAAATTAATATTGTCTATAAAATCTGGTTTGTTTCTTTGAATTATATCAGGACAATGACCAGTCCAAGAATCTAATAATAACACTGATTTTGGTCCAACATTTGGAAAAAACACTTCTTTTATCCAGATCTCAAAATGATGCGATGTTAATTTTCCAGATTTTGATGCCATGACAAAGATATTATTATCTTTAAACATTGTTTCTTTTACTATTGGACCAAATGTTCCAGTAGGTTCTTTTAAAACAATAAACAGAGGCGATAATAATCTACCATCAGCTGAAACAATAGGTTGTATAGTATAACTATGTGTAGTTGCTGATATGGATTGTACTATGCGCTCTACTTTTTTAATACCAATAGGTGATAGTGAACGACCGGAATGAAATTCTAATTGAAATCCACTTTGGTCCGAATTATATACATTTTCAATTCCATATTGTATAATAGAAGATTTAACATTTTCGATAAATGACTTGCTTCGTGCTTCTAAATCTTTGTCTGACGTTAAATTTTTTTTTGTTATAAATTTTGTAATTTTTCTAGATACGATATTATGTGCAAGCTTAAACCTTTTTACCCATGATAATGATGCTGTAAACCCAAGTAGATTTACTTCCTTCTGTGCGCGAAGAGCCCATCGAGCAATATCAATGTCATGAATAATTATTCCCTTTTCAATACCTTCATGGAATTTATTTAACGTATATGTTGAAATTTCTTTCAGTTTATCAAATCTGTTGCCACCTTGATTTACTTGCTGCTCCCATCTTCTTAATTGACGTAATGACGTGACTTTCCGAAATCTATTTCTTATAGATGCAAGAGTTCTTGACTTTTTTGTTCCACTTCTCCATAACTCTACTGCATTTCTTTTATATTCTATTGGTACAGAATCCGCAACACATTCAATTTCTTTTACAAAATATGTGTCTTCTTCTCTTTCTTCATCAATTACAGGTTCTACTTCAGGTATATCAAATTCGTTTTGAAAATCTAATGATGATTCTTCATAAACTTCAAACGCTTCTTCATACATTGATCGAAGCATATTTTCCATCATGTCTTTTGTTTCATTTTCATCTGTTGTAACAGGACTTTCTGGGAATTCCCCAGTCATATACAGTGCAGTGTATAGCAGTACTGCTACATTTCTTGGATTAAACATTATCTAAAAAAATTATTAACATTAT